TTTTAACCCAGCCTACTCTCCGACTGCGCGCCGTGCATTTTTGGTTTTGCAGCGCGTTGACGCATTTCGTCCTGGGAAAGCTGTTGAAAATTCAGCCGTTGCAAGATGTGATGGAAAATCCAATAAATTTGGCACAACACAGGGCTTTGAATCATAACATGAGTCGATATTCCATTGAAAAAATTTGTAAACTGCAAAAATTCCATCTATATAAAATTCATTTGGTATAAGATTTGACTGAAGACGATTTTGGTCGTAGAATCGAGTTCTGTGAAGTTATTATGGATAAATTGAATGAAAATGTCAACTTTGTCAACAACGTATTATTTTCTAACAAATATACATTTTGTTTAAACGGGCACATAAATCGACATAACTGTAGGTATTGATCAGATCAAAACCACTTTTGGATGGAGGAAGTTCACACTCAACGGCCACAAAAAGTAAATGTCTGGTGTGGCATTATTGGTGGACACGTCATGGAACCCTATTTTATAAACCCTGGATAGAATCTAGCAACATCCGGCTATGCTTACGTGCGTAGGCAGATATTCATATACGTGAGAAATATTCCAAGGAAAAGATTTAATTTGAACTGTATAGAGCATCCACAGTTTCTCTGGTGTGTACAACTTTCTAGTTCGCCATAGCATTTGTTTCTAAAAAACTGCTTTTGGTTTCCCTCTTTTTTATTAATGATCCATCTCTGAAATTACAATGCTCCACCCTATTATACAGTGCCTTCATTTCAAAACTTCCCACCCCTAGTACTTCGTTTAGCAGGAAGAATTTGCCGTAGGCAAAAAACACGTCAATTTATAAATCGAAGGGGAAGTTTAAAACCAGTGCCAGTGGTATTTTAGGTTTAACCCCCTTAACCCTAGCTACCCCCACTTAATAATTTTAAATGGCAGCCCCTATCTTGTAACACATCATTTTAAAGATCTTAAAAATCCTCACTCAACCCCGTTTAGAAAACTGAAATTGGTTGATCCGTTCTCGTAAAATAGGGCAAAAAGAAAGTGAATTATAACTAAATGCAAAAATTTATGGAACCACTACCACTGACTCAATAACGGTATGTTTATGCCCCTTTTTTACACAGAGTTTTTTGCTTTAGTTGAAAGTGAGGTAAGGGCACACAGTTGCTTCTTGGCGTCAGTTACAATTAAATGGTGAAAACATTTACTGATTTTAAACTGTTTATCAAGTGGTGTCAGTTCCACCGACAGTAATACAAATCGTAATGGTGTACACTTTACAAGAAAGAACTGAAATTATTTTTATGATGATGATGGTGCTGAAGATAGGTGTGCTCGTAGGACAGCCCGGGTTTTTAATGAAAGGCATGCAGGCCAAAATGTGAGTCACCGATATGTTCTAGAACTTGTTCAAAAATTTGAAGAGACCGGTTCTGTGTGTAACAAAGCAATAAAGCAGCCGAGATTTCTTACGGAAGCCGCACAGATTGAGATTTTAGGCCAATTCGCCGTTGAGCCTACTACTTCAATTGCGAAAGTCGCAAAGTTAGTAAATATTTCAGTTGATTCTATACACAAAAATGTATAACCGAAAAAGTTATTTCCTTACAAAATGAGTATTCTTCAGCAACTCTGTGAGGATGACTATGATAGGAGAATTGAATTTTGTGAAATAATGACTGCGAGAATTCAAAATGACCTGAATTTAATAAAAAACATTTGCTTCAGTGATGAATCAACTTTTTTTCTTAATGGCTCTGTAAATAAGCATAACTGCAAATACTGGGATAATGAAAATCCACACTTGTTTCGAGAGGATCATACGCAATATCCACAAAAAAGAAACGTCTGGGCTGGAATTCTGGAAAACGAAATAATTGGCCCTATTTTTATTCAAGAAAATTTGACTGGTATTTAAACTTATTGGAAAATGTAATCGATCCACTCATAACACAGTCCTTAGAACGCCAAGTTGATGAAGAAGACAACCCGCTCTTGGATGAACAAAATTTACATTTTCAACAGGGCGGCGCACCGCCACACTACGCATTGCATGTCCGACAGTGGCTTGATCAACAATATCCTGACAAATGGATTGGCAGAAGAGGCGCTCTGGAATGGCCGGCGAGATCTCCGGATTTAACGCCATTGGATTTCTTTCTCTGGGGTTATTTGTAGACAATGGTATACAAAACTCCCCCACAGGACATTCAGGATCTAAGACACAGGATTACTGACACATGCAGACAAATTAATAACGAAAAATTTACAAAAGTTCGACAGGAATTCAAGAATAGATTGTACTTTTGCTTAGCTACCAATGTTGAACATTTTGAACACCTTATAAAGTAAGGTACATTTATTTAATTGCAATAGCTATTATTTTATTTTTTATTATAATTAATTTTTTTTGCCCTATTTTACGAGAACGGATCAACCAATTTAAGTTTTTTAAACGGGGTTGAGTGAGAATTTTTAAAATCTTTAAAATTATGTGTTACAAGGTAGGGGTGCCATTTAAAATTATTAGGTGGGGGTAGCTAGGGGTAAGGGGGTTAAACCTAAAATACCAATGGCACTGGTTTTAAACCTCCCCCTCGATATCTAAATTGACGTGTTTTTTCCTACGGCAAATTCTCCCTGCTAAACGAAGTACTAGGGGCGGGAAGTTTTGAAATGGAGGCACAGTATGTTGATGCTTTGATATGCCATTTAATCCTCATCTAAAAAATTGGAGCATTAACATGGTATTTCCATGATGCAACCTAAATCAGTATTAGAGTGCGTTTTTTTGAACATTCCTATTTTAAAAATATAGTATTCACCCAAATGGCAATATTGATTACTCAATACTAGTCAACCAAAGCAATTTCATCCCATTGAATACTAGATGTATCAATGCTCCTTTTTGACGAACTGCCCAATAACATAAGCTGGGAGTTTCTTTTAGCAAACATTCCATTTAATATACCTCCAATAAATAGGCATGCAAATATATTTTACTGTGATCATGTTAGAACAGACATATTGAAGAGATCACCAGTTTCAATCATTTGTAACAATTTTAACATAATATATGGTAGGTACATGTGATATCGATATCTTAATTATCTTTCATATTCTCTTTGTAGTAGCTTGTTTTGCTTAAAAATTCATACATACATTTATGCAGTGTGAACACGAATAGTGCCCCCCTCCTAACATTCGAACAGGGTGAGATATCAGAGCTTGTTGGAAAACAACTGGATTTTTGAATTAATTCTGATTATTGGCCACAATTTTCTAAATCGGTGGGTGAATGAGGTTTTGAAGAATTTTCAATTATAAATCACCAGTCAGATTTTCCTCTGGATATATGGAACCAACAATATGATTTCCCACCAGACATTTATTTTCTCAGGAGTGAGAGTGACCTCGAAAAATATGTGGGTTTATATCTAACCAATATCACACATTTTGGCGGTTGACATTTCTGTTTGAGAAAAAAGTGCATATGTCACTAAAACAAATGCAGTTACGATTCACAATCAAACATTCGGACATCAATCACAAAACTACATTCGTCTGTCAGGGTCATATTTCAATTCATGTAATATCTTCAGTTTACAGTGGTGAAACTTATCTGAGGTATTTCTTGATGGTGGTTATTGAGACATTATTCTCACGATTAACTGTTGCCTTGATCTGCAGGGGGTCATTCACTACAGATGCAACAATTTCTATATGTTTCTTGTCCGAGATAGATTTTCCCTCAGCTCCACTAGCTCTAGCCATACTTCCAGTTGTTTGAAATTTCTCAACCAATTCTCTGAAATGATTTCTTCAGATCGGATTATCAAAAAATCTTGCATTGAATAGGTACTCTTTCTGCCTTATAAAAATTACGGCAGGCCTCTGTTTTTTCCTCTATCGACCTGGCGCAAACACAATATTCTCTGTTACTAGGGTAACATGGTATGGATTTCTATCTACATAGTCGATCATCAGAAAAGCCTAAATCGGATTAAGAACAGAAATGCGCTTATTTGTCAAATACCTTGATTCAATTTTATTTTAAATACGATTCATTTCCATGAATAATATTTTTCTCTTACACATTACAAACTTTGTGTAACCTGTGATAAGTAACTTTGAAGTTGTTTCAAGCCCCTTTTCGTTGCAAAGCTATGAATTATCATTTTTTCCATCTCCAATTCATACACCAATAACTCTGCAACCGGTGATCTAAAGTATTCAAAACACTAAAAAAGTAGTATTGAAAATTGTGAGTAAGTGAGCTAAGGGTCACAAGACTCCCTTTTTCCTGCGGCGAGTGATGTCTTACCATTCGTTCGTTTATCAAAAAGTACAAAAAGTTATTCCCTTTCATCAATTTTGTCTGACTCTGATATCTTGCCTCATTCAAAGGTTAAGAGGGGTCTATTTACGTCCGAACTGTATAATTATTTGCCTTTGAAATATTTTCTATACATTTATCTAGTTTATACATTACATAAATTGTTATCGGATGTACTTATACCTGTTGGGAGTAAAGAATTATCTAGCTATTATTAAATTGTAACTGACCTCAACATTTAGCGCGCAATGTTTTCTAAGCAACTTGTTCAGATCTTCTTTAAGAGTGCTAACTTCTTCCTGTGCACACGCAAGCTGAACACATCTGGAACTGTTTGTTTCCTGCGCACTTTTCTTACATTCGTCCAGCTGCAAAGTTTTTAATTCCAATTGCTGCCTGAGAGATCCCAGTTCTCTCTGGAATTGGCTGGCTTGTTCCAAGTAGCGAGATTCTTCCATTTCTGCTTGCTTCAGTTTTTGCATTAATTTCTGTTTCAGATCGTTGTATTCTCGATCTCTTTCCATTTGAGATTTCGATATCTGAGCTAAGTGCAATTGTGTGCGTTTACTTTCTTCTTCCAGTTGTTGATTCCTTTTCTGAGTTTCCGTTAATTTTTTTTTGAGTTCTATTACCTGAAAAGATTGAATGGTTATTATGACGTAGGTATACAGTTCATTGAACAAATTGATAAAAACTGAAAATATGTCATAGAATCGACCGATAGTAATGAGAATCTATAACCCATTCAAAAAACCCTTTGCGAAATTTTCACTACAGAGTTTTACAAAAAAGCAACACATGTTTTGCCATACAATAGCTTCTTCAGGAGTGTCTATACTAAGTTAATATAGACACGCCTTAAAAATCTATTGTATAGTGAAACACGTGTTGCATTATTGTAAAACTCTAGTGAAAATCGCACAATAAAGTGTTTTTAAAATATATAATAACTGAAAATATATAACTACCGATTTCTTGAGCGTTTCCACAATAGATTGATAAAATTCAACTTCACATGGGCAGTTGAGACAAATATCTTGATCAGTCTCCTCCCCAGTCTGTTCCATGTATTTCCTACAATCATCATTGTTGCATTTACTTTCGAATTGAATATTTCTTTTACTTAAGTTCTTGTTCAAATCCATTAGCTGAAAAAAAAACAACGGAAAATTAGTCAATTAATACATGCAATAAAAGAGTAACTGATCGCTGTCAATATTGTATGGGGGGGGTCTTTATTGATGCAATAGAACCCAAAACAAATTTTAGAATATTTGTCTGTGCTTCTGTACACACTGAAATCAAAAACAGGTTAAACGATTTGGGTGCGGCTTTCAATATTGTGTTGTGGTAAGCTTCGCTTAACATTTAATGTTTGATTTATTCAAATCGGCTCGTAAGTGAAAAACGTTATGCTAATCTGAAGAATCATTTGTTGGATAACTATGAAAATACTGTTCACGTTGGTTAACTATGAAACAGAGATAGGCAAGTACATGAAAGCATTCTACTGTCAGAGAATCAGAGAAAATTCCGAATACTGACTACTCACGGTTTTTTTCAAGTCCCCTATTATTTTTCTATATCGTTTTATTTCTACTTCCTTGACAGTATCTTTTCTCGTCACAATGCCTAGTTGTGTTTTCAATTGATGAAGTTCCTCTCTTGCATGCCTATATTTTTCTTCACTCTTTGCTAGTTTGTCTTTCATATCTTCAATTATGCATTTTAAATGACACTGCTTATTTTTTTCTTTTTCTTTCATTTCATTCAACTCCATCTGGGCAGATTTCAAAATTCGATTTTGATTGTTATAGGCCATCTCTAGCTTACACAGTTCAGCCGTTTTCTTTTCTGAAAATTACAGTAATGTGTATGAGGGGATTGTCTAACTGAAAAAATTAACATAAGTTGATTAAATAATTATTTTTATCAAAGAGTTTGAACTTCAATATAAGTACCATATAGATTGTTAATGAAGCAGACAGCTTAAGAGTATCTAAATCTACGTTTACACGGCATCCTAGGGGAGGATTGCTAACAACCGATGTTACTAAAAATAATATTAACGTTTATATAAACACCATTTTCATCGAACATTATCAAACCAGTTACTCAATGCCTAATATTTCGGAAAAAGGATTAACGTCATTAAACCGAATTTATTGGGTCGTGTACACCTACTTTGAGCAGTGTAATAATTTAGTGGCATGAAAATTCCCTAATGCTTCAGAATGTGAAACAAATAGTATAACAGCGTTCTCGGTTCGACTTAATATTAGAAGGCAATTGGTGGATGAAATTAGACGGAAAAAAATTTAGGTTGACCAAGTATTTTCCCTATGATTAGATACATATATTTTTGATTTCATTGGTATTCGACAGAATCATCCTTACATACTTTTCTATTCAGATGTTTAATAACGATAATTTATAATGAACTTTGAATTATAGCTTCAATGTAATCATATGTAAATATTTTGGGGATATATCGTACAATTCCTTTAGATATGGCGAAATTTTGGGAAAAGCATATGTTATAGCCTTCGTTTCTCAATCTCTCAGGAATTACAACAGGGATGGCTATCAAATGAAAAAATTGACAAAATGATTCATAAGAAAGGCCATCCTGAGTCATATTGAAATACACCTTGATGCAGCACAAATAACTCCTGTCACAAACGAACAACATAATACACACAATGACACAAATAACAAAGTATCATCGCCCAAATGTATTCAGAACATGCGAAGTAGTTTACCAATTAAGGTCAACCAGCAGACATTTTGTGAAGTTGGAAAAAGTTGTCTTTATCCCAGACTATCCCAGTTTACACCCCAACTGAACCATCTTATGAATTCCACCGCTTATCATGGGTACTTAATTCCAATTACTCAAGAAATTCAAGAAGTCGAAAAAAATACAAACCTGATCAACCAAAATGTCATTAGTGATTTTTTATACATGCGAATACTTCAGAGCGAATTGGAGCACGCATAAATTTACCAAGTGGGAAGAAAAGTACAACCAAAACACAATGTGCCAATATCAAAACTACCCTCTCTTCATTCTTACTTAATATCCAATCAGTAAGATACAAAACTTATAAAATCTTGATTTTCCTCGAATCATAGAATATGCCAGATTTCGTTCTTCTCACTGAACACTGGCTAAGAGAGGAAGAACCATGTTATATTCCAAATTATGTCACTGTAGCCAAATATTGCAGAAATAACTCGGCACATGGTGGAAATATGATTCTAGCGAATGATGAAATAGTCAATGATCTTATATTAGTGAACATTGATAAGAATGACTTTCTTTTAGTAGAAAATGAATCTGAATTCAATTTGGTGCATGAAAAAAAGAACAATATGCACCATGGACAAACGTTTTGAACTTTGATGGTTCAGTTAACATGTTTCAAAACTACCTGAGAGATATATTCGAAAAATGTTTTTCAATGAAAAAGTTCAAAATCAAAAATAAAGAAAAAAGCCCTGGATAACCCAAGGAATAAAAAAAAAATCTGCAATACATCTGAGATCACTACATACTATTAAAAAATTCATAACTGATGAAATTTTCACATATCATATTTCAATACATACAGAACCATTTATAGAAAACTAATAAAGCTTGCCAAACAACGATATTTTGAAGACAAACTATACATGGCTGAAAATAAAACAAAAGATAACTGGGCTATAACAAATAAAGTACGTGGAAAAGGTAATATATTGGCTACTAATGCGGATATAGATCCTAACGTGTTAAACAACTTCTACTGTACGATAGCACAAAAAATAACATCAGAATTACAACCGACAATTCATCCAACTGAGTTTATGAAAAATATAAATATTACAGATAACTTTCACCTATTTGATACAGACATATATGAACTGAAGCAAACTATAAATGAAATAAAGAACAAAGCATTATCTGTTTATGAATGAAATATCAGTTAAAATTTTAGAAAAGAAAAAGTTTAACTGCTTAAGTATTCATAACATACTATGCGAATCTCAATATGGAATCCAAAGTCATAAAAACATAGGCGATGCAATCTTCTCTTTTCTGGAAGATGTATAAATTGCTTTAAATAATAACAAATCTATTGGGGCAGTATTCAGTGATTTCTCAAAAGCATTCGACAGTGTGAACCATGAAACACTATTATTTAAACTTCAGTGCTATGGCTTTAGACGATTGTCATATAACTGGCTTTACAGTTATCTAACAGGCAAGAAGCAGTTAGTAAACCTCCAAGAAAATATATCGCATATTGAGAATAATACATCAGGTGTACCACAAGGTTTGGTTCTGGGTCCTATCCTTTTTCTGCTTTATCTGAATGATCTGGTAACCATTGACTTTAAATGGAAATTCACACTTTTTGCGGATGGCACCACGATTCTTCCCACACAGCACTAGATATTCATGGAATATTCCCTGTATATCATAAAACGAACGTATCTATTCCAAATATTCATAGAATATTCTTGGAATATATACATGCCTTTAGAATATTCATAGAATGTGCTTGAATGAATATGGCAGGATTATTCCCGAAAGAATGTGCATAGAATGTCTATAAATGGATTATTCTCCCTTGAATATTCTAAGAATATTGTCGATCGAATATACCATATGGTATATTCTTAGAATATATCCCCACGGTATATTTTGGAATATTCTATACAATGGAATTTTGAATTATCTTATAATAACGTATTCAAATAATTCAATATTATTGAAAACAAAAATATTTGAAGATCTTAATCGAATGCATAACCTAATGTATATAACACTATCAGGTGTTAACCAGTTTTTGAACTCAACGCGAAGATTCTGGATGAATTGCTCCAGCAGCAACTGCTGGAAACGACAAAAAAATTTGAATGGGCCAATAAATGAAACATTTGCATCAATAAATTGGTTATTTCTCATCCATCCATTTTTTGTATTTGAAATTATTTAATTACAAAGCGAAAAATCCTGGAAACAGAGCAATGGGGAAGTGAAGAATTGGAATTGGAGAATTGAAGAATTGGAGTAAACGTTTTTCATTGGTTAATTGAAGTGTAGCGCGCGACAGTCGAATAAGCTCTGTGAAAGCGGCTGTCCCTTAATGCATGGTGAAACATTGTCAATCACCTTCAAACAAATCATTCAGTGTTATTTGTATGATCAAATAATTGTATTTGAATAAGCATACCACTGATTTAATTACTCACGACTAGACGACAGTCAATAAAATCACAAGTAACACTCCTGAAAGTAACGGACGATATTCATATATCCACGGTTCATAATTTACTAACCACCTTGGTGCTGCTTGACTTCTCCAAGGCATTTGATCTTACTCGTATAAATCATGAAACTAACTTGCTCGGAGAACACAGTCAGTGCTTTTTAACAATCAAATTTCAATTTCTTCCCAAATTCATTCAGGAGTTCCCCAGGGATCAATCATAAGGCCACTCTTTTTCTTGATATATACATTACAATTTCCTTCTAGAATTCAACACTGTTCAGTCTACATCTATGCTGACGATACTCAAATATACCTTTCTTTTGATGAAAACAATTTAAATCATGCTACCAACTTACTTAATAATGATCCCAACTCTCTCATGCAGCTATCTGATCAACATTGTTTGAAGATAAATCCATCCAAGTCGATAGTTTTATTATTTGGAAGAACGACAGCTAGAAAGATATGCCTATCTGAATTGAAAATTGTGATAGGCGATGAGTATGTACCTATAGAGAATAGTACAAAAAATCTGGGACTCATTATCGACAACACCCTCGATATTTCTCCCATGTGTTTTTGATTCAAAAAAGAGCCTATAATGTCCTGAGAGTAATATACTCGAATAAAAATATTCTGAATAAGCGATTGAAAATAACTTTATGAAAGTGTCTCGTGTTCTCACGCAAACTATGACGATGTCGTTTTTGGTTCTTCCCTTTTGAAATGTGATAAAACTAGATTGTAAAAATTACAGAACACCTTTGTTCGCCTCATATGCGGCTTACGTAGGAGATACCATGTAACAAATGCTTTGAAATCTCTAGGTTGGATGAATATGACTGAAAGTAGAGCCCTTCACGCCTGCTGCTTAATCAAAAAATCCCAACCAACAAAAGTCCGTCCTCTTCATACTATAAAAGAAGATTCAGAACGGATATACATAATCTAAAAATCCGATACAATCCACAGAACAGCTCTCTTCAAAGCTTTATTTTCTAATTATGTAGCTTGACTAATAAATTGGATTCCACCTGGTTATAAAGACTTACCATTGACTTTGATTCAAGAAACACATTAAAAATGAAATGTTGAACAAATTCCTTGCGCTAAAGATGAAATGATCCAAAATTGATCCAAATAACTGCATCAGTATTTCACATTATTAAACGTCCTTCTGTGCATCTACTTGAGATCCACGTTTTATGGTTGAGTGGAAGAAGTATCTTCTGCTGAATAGACTTGAACTCTGCCTTTTGACTGACATTCTTTTCTATTTATTTTGTATTGTTATATTATCATGTATTCATATAATTTGTATTTCAGTCAGTAGAAACGATTATCATTAAGTTCATAACAGTATGGCCTAAATATAATCATGTAAAAAATCTAAAAAAATTCTTACCTAGTGCTTCTTTCAATCCTTAGAAACACATTAAAAATGAAATGTTGAACAAATTCCCTGCGCTAAAGATGAAACGATCCAAAATTGATCCAAATAACTGCATCAGTATTTCACATTATTGAACGTCCTTCTGTGCATCTACTTGAGATCCACGTTTTATGGTTGAGTGGAAGAAGAAGTATCTTCTGCTGAATAGACTTGAACTCTGCCTTTTGACTGACATTATTTTCTATGTATTTTGTATTGTTATATTATCATGTATTCATATAATTTGTATTTCAGTCAATAGAAACGATTATCATTAAGTTCATAACAGTATGGCCTAAATATAATCATGTAAAAAATCTAAAAAAATTCTTACCTAGTGCTTCTTTCAATCCTATCAGCTTCTCTTTGCAAGAATTGATTTGCGCTTGACAATTCTCGGCAATTTCTCTCGATTTACCATTATCAATCTCATAGTTCTTGATAGCATTTTGCAATTTCATGATAGTTTCATTCAATGAAACAATTGTGGCATGTAAGTCTTCATTCTGTTTCAAGGAACACTGTAATGTATGTCTGATATTCGCAATAGCTTGGTCGTGACGACCGAGATCAATTTCTTTTTCGCTAACTAATCTTTCTAGTTCGGATATTTTCGCTTCGTGAAGCTGATTCATCTGGTTCTCGAGGAGTACTGTTTGCTCAGCAGCATTTAACTGAGTTGAAAGTTGTTGATTCAGGGACTGAACATTCATAAACGCCTGCATCAATTTCGAAGACTCCTCGTGAGCCGAATTGTTCGACAGTGTCTAAAAATATAAATAGAGTAATATAGAAGTTGTGAAGCTTTCTGGGCCAAAGTCAATGTTAAGTCGGGTTTAAAACATTGTATCACGGACTTTTTTCCCTGACGTTTCGCCAGCAGTGAGAAATTCCATTATACGGGGCGGCCTTTAAAAACTTAGGGATATAAAAGGGTGATAGCTGTGTTTGTTCAGTTTTTTCAATAACGAGTTTGAAATATTGATGTAATTTTTTATGGTGTATGATTTGAAATGGTCAAAAATACTGAGTGCGCATATAAGCAAAACTAAAAAAAATATGGCTCTTCTTTGGCACCCCGAAAAAAATCATAATACAAAAAAAATTGGAATCAGTACGTACAGTACGTTTCGCTATACAATAGCTTTCTCAAGGGTAAANTATTTGAAATCCATTCTGAAGTAACAACTACCATATCTTATCTCAATGTTGCCAGAAGTTGAGTTCGATGTATCAGTTAATTCATGCGACATTGAATATTAAAAATACCATGTTTTCGCCAAAAAAAAATTGTAAAACAATATTTTAAAAATGATGAGAGATAAGTAAAGAATATGTTCAACAAAAGTAATTTGGATTTTGATGCAGAATTTAAAAATGATATAATATATAGGATGTTCCATTTGAAATTTCCAAGTTGATGTCTGTTACATGTAGATGTGGCAACATTGCGGTCATGAAAATATTTTCGAACGATAGATCACAACCATTTACATCGGTAACCAAAATTTAAAACTCTCATCTTTTTTTGTTCTCTAGATACGTCTTATAGACCATCGAATATGGAATACCCTGTATATATAGGTATTCATCTTTTATAACTAAATATATTTTTCCTTCCTATCCGTATCTTTATTTGATTTTCAAAAATACCGGAATAGTCTAATTAGTGAACAACAGAATTGCCTTAACTGAAAGAAATGATATAGAAGTACTTTAAACAATCTGTCAGAAATTATGAGAAACGATTTCATATAAGAACACATTTCAACGCTGAATTTGGAGTTTCTGTGTAGTATTTTCAGATTTTCATTATAAATGTTATAAAAAGTGAGTATGATAACTACTCCACCTGCAAAGACACCATCTATGACATCTAGTAGCCTGTTTCCAACAGAAGCTACAGAAAGAAATGAAAAGTGATTTTCCATCAGGCGAAGCAGCTTCGATGTCAAAGCTAAGGTTTGCAAAAGATTACTGTTAGGAACCCCAGTTCAATATATGTGAACACGCTTTGAGTTTTCAGCCGATCCCACAGATGGGATTTTTTTCCAGGGATTTCAAATCAATTTATATTATATTAGACAATGGAAATCCGAACTGATGAAATACCCATAGATGAAGTCTTCATAAGGGGAGTTGACATGTCCACTTCTGAATCGGGATTATTGTTTGCATTCATGTCCACTCGGCTTTCTACGATATGAATGGAACCACTGTTGAGATGTATGTTATATTGAAACTATTTTGGTTGACATTGAATTATAAACCTGTTCACAATAAATAAAAGATTTTTTTTCAGTGAAATACAATAATTGACTAGGTGATATTATTTCAGAAAACAAAATCAAAAATATAATAATAATCTTTGCCTTTGTTTCATAAGAACAAAACTAATCGAAGCTTAAGAAAAAGAACTTTTTTTCATAACCACTTTTAACGAAAATTCAACCAATTCTGTACCTAATAATTAGGATACGAAAATGTTATTACAATTGCACAAAATACACTAACGTAGAAATTCTAATGCTATAAGAATAATATATGGAGTAGGTAGCCTGAAATACCTCCCCAAAAAATTTGCATACGGAATTTGTATAGGTACGTAAATGTCATTAATCATCATCATCATTATATGGAATGATCAATTCAGATGATTTAACGAATCCCAAGGACAGGGATGTTGACTGATTGTAGAGTTTTGTACAAAGATTCATAATGATCCATTGAAAAAAATAGTTCCCTTAATGTGTTCATTTATACCTCCAAGTTATATTTTTTGAGCAACCTTGCGTATTGTTTCCCGATCAACCAAAGACTGATAAAGATTAACGAGTCTTGTAATGAGACTGAAATGAGTTTTACACTGTGTTTTTCAATTTTAGTTTGTGTGTATATAATTCATCATGCTTACCTTACCTCCGAATTGATATGCCACAAGAACACTTCTAAACTTTTTAACAGTCAATGATGAAACTAGTACAAATACGAAAAAACAGAAAATAATATCTCTGAATGAGGAGATACACATGGATATTTTACAGAATAAATTCAACTTTGAACCATCCAACAATGTTTAAAATAATCCAAACTCACCAATAATTCTTGTAGATTTTGTAATTGCTCCGACATCAAGCCCATCTCATGTTTAAAATAAATAATAACTTCCTCATAGCATTTTTTCTGTTTCTTCACCTTATTGAAACTACTTCTAAATGTCCTATTTTCCTCCTGAAAATGTATAAATCATTTTCACAACTGCATATATCAAAAGACTATGTGAATATATTTCATTAGGCAGGTAGGCACTATGAGCAAAGCAAAACTACTGAAAATACCTCAGCTGCTTTCAATAGATGTTGATATTTGAAAAGATTATTATCAAGACCATCAACATCTTGCAAGCTATTACAATGCTCTATTTCCACATTAAGGTTCAGTTCTTGTAAGCGCTCATATTCCTCAAGTATATAATTGAACTGAAAAGTAAAATAAATGTCATTCATATTTTCAAATCTCAAAAAAAAATCGTTAACGATTTGTTATTTCAGAACTAAGAATATAACTTCAAGATAACAAAACTTACTCGTTTATCAAGTATATTTTTTTCAAGTTCCATATCAGCCATTATAGAAGTGTACCCACTCATAACTTTTTGTTTATCCACTTCCTGAGAAATTATGTAAATATATGAGCTCTACGAATGTTGTAATAGATTTAGTTACATGCAATTTCTTTTTGAACAAAAGCTTTTCCAAAACATGCGAACAATCTTGAATAAAATAAAATATCATACCAAGAAATATATTTACTTTCAAAGCTACCAATACAAACATTTTAGTTAAGAGGCAATTTCTGAGTATATTAATTGAACTACACCAACCACACACATATAAATTACAAGTTTCTATAGACAATGTTTGAAAACCAACAATGCAATGGTCACGTTTGTTAAATATTCATCTGAATGATTGAAGAATAAGATGATCTACGGATGATATAATATTTAGGTAGTAAGCAACCTGAAAGTAGATTTTTTATAGAAATCTGCTTCTCAACCATTGGCAACAATTTTCATCTCCACAATATTATACCAGACTTGGTATATTCATTTTCAATGCACTATTATTTACATTCCTTTGTGAGATTTTGATTATCTAGCTCATCAATATTCCTATTATATATAAATTAAATTTTGGAACTTGTCCTAAGTTATATATTGGTCAAACTGGCAGAACATTTAGGAATCGCATCTAGGACAATCATATGAGCTATGTAAATAAGAAAACAAGTTCAACACATTCAAATAATCTTTTAGAGGAAAATCATATCTTTAACGGAGATTTCGAAATTTTCCATATCGAAAATAAAGGTTTAAAGCTGAATCATTTGGAAGCAATGGAAATTAATAAAACTTAAATATTCAAATAATTTACTGAATGCCAAACTGGATTTAAATAGATCACCATTATTGATCACTTAGACTTCATAGACCTATTATAATAATTGATGTAGAATTTATATAATAATATGATATAAAAGTTGAGTAGATGCTTTAGGAAATTAAGATGGAGTAAGTACCTGAGTAGGTAGTTCTCATGGTGATTACATGAGAGAAATAAAAATAATTAGAGTAAAGAAGTAACTTTTAGTAGTTTATTTACTACAAAAAAGCTACTGTATTAGCGAAACATGTGATAGTTTTGAGAATAAAGTTTGAAAAGATCAAATCGTAAGGTGTAGTTTATGAAATTACTATGGATATTCATCAAGTACGGCCGAATAAATCAGATAAATAACCATTGTTAGTTTTGAAACATCTTGAACATTCAGATATTGTTGTACATTACGAATATGCTTCAATTTGCAATTCTAATACAAGCTTTTTCAAATCTAATATTAATGTTACAAAAGTCGGTTTTCATGAGCATGCATAATTTTTAAACACATTTGGATTTTAATTATGTAAATCAAACAGGTCCCACTACCAATAGAAACGTAAAAATAACACCTGATTCAACTACTTAATCTAATCGTTTAAATACACTCTGGGACAAAAATAGGGCATATTTTATTTCAAGATTTTCTTTCATGTTAATTTCTTTTCCCTCAACACGTTATTTATTTTTATTGATAAATCTTCAAAGGCCAAAGTATTTTACGTAAATTTCCATTCAGTAAAAATAAAAAAATGCTTGCAGATAGTCGCTATTGCTGAATAAGTAAAATAATGGTACAAATTACAAACTTTGAATAATAGTGTGCCTTTGCCACTATTAATGTCTATTGTTTTGTTCATTGTTGTCAGAATGACAGTTTGAGTACTTTATGTCTTGATTCTGTAGTTTTCCTAGTGAGATGCCGCATTTGAGCAAATTAGTATGTGTTAAAATTGTTGCAATGAGGGAGGCAGACAAGGAGATATTGCGCGGAGATTGCGTATCCATCAATCAACTGTTTTTTGTATTCAGAAGCGACAATGAGACTGGGGAGTACAAAAGGAGGCCTGGTCAAGGATGTAAGAGATGTACAACGCGAAGAGATGATCAATATTTGAAAATAAAATCTTTGCAAAATTGCACGCTTACAGCTCCGGATACCAGAAATGGTTTACTGAGCACAAGACAAGTTAATTCAAGTGTCAAAACAGTAATAATAAGACTCAAAGAAGTCGATTTGAATCCACGTAACAAATCTAGACGGTTACAATTTGCCATAGCCCATGTCAAATGGAATGAACATCAGTGGGGACAAATTCTTTTCACAGATGAAACAAGAATATAGTTATGGAAATCAGATGGACGTGGTCGAGTATTCAGAAGATCTGGAGAACGTTTTGCGAAATGTAATCTTGTACATAACGTTAGCTTTGGTGGTGGTTCCATTATGTTGTGTGGTGGCATTAGTTGAAACAGTCGCACCGAGCTCATAGAGGTGAATTTAAGAATGAATGTTGACTAGTACATACACAACATCCTTGAAGAGTATGTTTTACCTTAAGGCGGCTTAATTGGTTACGACAATTTCTTGCTAATGCATAATAATGCTCGTGCACATGCTGCAAGAACAGTCACCCAGTATCTTGAAGTTGTTGGACTTGAGGAAGTGGAGTGGCCACCAAACAGTCCTGACGCAAATCCCATAGAATATATTTGGGACATCCTAAAAAGACACATACGAGCATGAAATCCAACTCCTAACTCACACAGGAAGAATGGAATCGAATTCCACAAGGAACCATCATTTTTTTTTAAACAAATTTTTACCAAAACTAGAAGATTCCATTACTTCTTCTACAAGTGTGTTTCAATATCTGGATTATTTGGCAATCAATATACGTTAAATACTTCAGCATATACCATTTAGTAATGAAAATTGCATAAAGATTCAGACAAATAGAAATGAACATGAAACCAAGGCTTAAAATAAAATGTGCAATATTTTTGTCTGTGAGTATATAATATAGGACATTATTTTATTAGAAGAAATAACTTTTATGAAAACAAAAAAAAAACTGTATTCTTCTTAATGCTGTTTACCATTCAAGACGTTACAAATAAACCAGCTGATCTAAACTTTCTATATATTATTTTACTGATTGAGCGCTGGCTTACAGTAGATGAGCCATTTTCTTTGACAACCTATACAAAAGTTTTATATCTCATGGCGGAACTATGATACTGATGAAAAATTCAGTTCTAGACAACTTACCATTCGTCAACATTTCAAACTATGACTATTTGTTAATGAAGAATTCGTCCTTAGTTTCTGCAAAAGTATCAATTATATTCAATAAGTATATATAATTAGGGGAAAACTAAGACTTTAACCCACCCACCCGAATATTTCAATGATAAGACCTTTTGAAACTTTCTCTCTCAAGATTTTATTTCAATAATTGTGAATTATGTTATTCTGTTTGTTTTTTGACAAGGCACTCAACGCATTCCAAAATCTTTTCTGCTTTCAGAAATCAGTGCATAATGCATACATTCTGATTTCTGATGTAAAAATATCGGATATGTCAAATAGTTCCAATCAACGAATTATACCTTGAAATATGTAGGTATATTTTTCATTTTATATGTGAAGATCGACTTTTGTAATATTGCATTTGAAATTAATATAATAATAAACTTCCACCAAAGGACATGACAAAAAATTTGCAAAATCTACTCCAAAAGTGACGAAAACTAAATATACCTAATACATTATCGTTCTTTTGTAAAAAATATACTTATTTGTTATGGTTGTTTTTCTACTTCGATGTTCAAATAAATGCCTTTACAAAGAGTAGAATATAATATACAATCGTTCGAGATATAACTTTTGTCCTCGCAGTCTATGCACAAACCAGTGATAATGTCACAGTTGCAGATGGAACGTTTAGTACTTCAGCTTTCGATTACGACCCACTAGCCCGGATTTTGATCTCTTCAATTGTGACTTTGGCCATGGAAGCCTATGTTCTTATACTATTGAAATAATTAAAAAGATGAAAATGCCAGAGTTAGTTATTGGACACACACTGCTATGTTTTAGGCAAGTCTATATGTCTAAGCTATTTTCAAAATATTCATCTAGGGTGTTTTAAGAAAAATTAATGATTCCAACTCAGGAAGCATTTCACAGAATACAACAAAAAATCATAATAGGTTGCTTAACTACATTATTTGTTATGAACACAAAAAATACTGAAAAAATAACAATTGTTATAAATAAATAATTCAAATTAAATAAGTGCATAAATAAATAAATTAATATTTCTGTTACAATTTGAACATAAGGTGTGCAATAATTGTATCAATGTTAGTAGTCCTACTTACATTCGAAAAAAATCTATTAAGTATTCACCAAAATCAACAAAAAAATCAAATATCATGCACGGGTCTTTGTTCATTATTTGGCGGTTTAGATTCAGAAAATCCAAACCATCTAGTAGTCCAATAACTTGAACTCACATTCTCTTCACATTTTTGCTTAGTACTGTCAAGTTCCTGTTTTGTATCCACCAAAGCTTTCTGTAGATTTGAAATTGTAGCTCTTTGTTGATCGATCTATACCAAACAAGAAACAACTAGACTTCATTTGAGAAAACGTAGAGTAATAATAAATTTGTCACACTTCAACAGAATGATTCATTCTAGGAAATTAAAACAACAGTAAAAATATTCATAAATTGTACCATCACATGAAAATATTATTTTCATTTGATTTAAATTCACTTATGTGTAAGTAAGTTTGAGGAATATCTTAATCAAAACGTGATCTGTGTAGGTTATCTCACTGTTTCTTCAATTAAAGCATGTGTCACTTGAGTAAGAAGCCATAGAAGAGCTATATTTTTCACTTAACTCGCCTTTTTACTCGAGATCCTAACTTTTTATAGAGATCTCAACTTTTCTTGAAGCTCAAGATATCGACATAAAAATCGTGATCCCGGAAAATACATTATATACAATATCAGAAATAGAATATGTACCCAACACTACCGGATGATTTTACTTGGACCCCATTTTTTCAGATATCATAAACTGTAAGTGTGTAGTAATTAAAAATGTAGAATATATGTTAATAATATTCTCAATTTTATTGCAACATGAACTTACCTCAATTTCGTATTTGGTTTGCGATGCTTCAAGGACATTTATCGAATTCATATATAAATCCACCTAATTGACATAAAATTATTTATGTACAATCTTGTAAAGTAAAACAAAGCAAAGAAAAATAAAAAGCTCAAGCACAAAAAGCTAAATAGAATATTTCTTCCACTACTAAGTGCCTAAAAATATATGATACTTTCTATATATGAGTACAGTAGAACCCTGGTTAACCGAAAAGAAAGGGGGGTTTGAGAGTTTGAAAGACATTTCGGATAACGAAACATCTGATAATATCCTAATAAAATGTGTATGTAGGAGCAATAGATTACAAATTATTTCTTTACATGATACTTTGTTTTTTATTTTGAAACAAGTATGCTAGTTACAATTTATTGTTTTCTCAGTTACAAAACTCATGTATTAAAACATTTGGTGATTCTTGTTTGTTTTTATTTAATGAATCATTTCGGTTGACCTGGGTTTTAGATGACCCGAGATCGGTAATCTGAGGTTTTATGGTATGTTAAATGCATGTGTCCTACAATATATAGATATTTATCATAAATGCATATCTTATAATATATTTTTTGCAAAAGGCTGTAAAATTTCAGAGGCTTTTTCTTCAGGAAAAATATAATTATGAATTATTTTGTGTTATATGTTTGTTGTAGAATATTAAAATTTTTGTGGATCAGAAAAAAGTTACCCACCGCCATTTGTAGATTATCAGCTCTACCATCAGAGTTTTGTAAGGTAACTTCCAATTCGTTTATTCTATTTTTTAAATGTTGTATATTTTGATTATATTTTTCTCTTTCTGATTTCATACTTGTTTCTCCTTCTTTCAATGATTCTAACTCTTGTTGCATTAAAACCATTGTTTCATTTTGATTTCTAATTATTTCATCCCTATTTTGAACCTAAAAAATGTAGGAGACATATAGATAAATACTTAGGGTTAGTTTATAGGTTTGGTTTAAACTAGGACTGAAGTTTGAACTATAGAATTGACAAGTTTGAACATTCTCATCAAGGAGTATCTTTAGATTAACCTCTGACGACTGTTCGTTTATGTAAATGATGGGATGGGGTATGCATATTAGCTAAGGAAGTGAATATGCTGACGAGTAATTTGTTGATGTATAGGAATTGGTAGAAAATTGAAGAAATCAAATAAGTTTCTCTTGATGTTTTGTTTTAATTAAGGTCTAAAATTTGATTTTTTTTTTATCAGATCGTCTTTTCTGAAATATTTAATAAGACGCTTATCAGGGCAATAGATGTAAAGTGTAATATCAAAGTTTGGTCATTTTTTTGAAAAAAAAAACAGAATTTGACCCAATTCCACTGACTCCTCAATGATGTGAGGCTGCATTTATGAAAGTTCACTTGATCATTGTTTTGTGATGAATATTGGAATTTCATCCAATCCAGTTGACTTTTGTTTTTCAGTTTCAATATTATTCCTTCAATTTCATGTTCGATGAACATCTAGAAAATTTCATCAATAACATTCGATTGCAGAACTTTTGGTAAATATTAGAATATCAGTCTTGGAACAGGCGCTGCAGATAAAAGCAATGAACTTCTTTTGATAAAACTGAAGTTGAAAAATATACTTTGAAAATTATAAATAAAAGTTTGAAACAAAAGAAAGGACTAGACTACTTATTGACAAAACAATCTCTGCAATTCTGTCACTATTCATGAATTCCCCAGAAAATGTCAAGTTATATACAATGAATATAACAGTTATAATCGGAACTTTTTTTATTTCTGAATAGAAAAATAATTGATATCGTTAATGTGATAAGAATATACCAATACGTTCAAAAATGATGAATTTTCTAAAATGAATATCGAATGTGCGATAAATTAACGTGGATAACTGTGAAGAAACCTTAAAAAATACATATCAGTATTGACGTAAGTAAGGGGGGGGGGGAAATTTGCTTACTTTCACTGACAAGGAGAAGTGGCGTTTAAAATGACTAAAATTGGGCTTAAAAAATAATTAAATGGCTCCTAATCTATATCTGAAACAGTGAGCTGATTTATAAAGTGGAAGAACAGGCTGTTTTAAGAATCTCTTGCTGAATGGTGATTGAATTTTAATTTTCCGAAAAAAAATTACTCATCAGAATGAGCTTTCATTGTTATTGTTTTATCTACCCACTTTTTTATAGGGTAGTTCGGATTTTCAATGTATATCTTTAACGACCAAAATTTTCAGAAAACGTTTTTGGTGTTGAAGAAACACGAGCTGGTGTTTAATTCATCCTGTGAATGGATTTGTCCTTTCTAATTTGAAGCTCATACGAAATTTCTGTTATTCAGAAAATTCACCAAAATAAAATATACTACCGAAAGTGGACGCCGAATTTTGTTTCTTCAGTATCATTGAAAATGGATTTTTTTATTATTCGTTTCCAGAATATGCAAGTTTTCGTCTCAGAACCTTAGTATGAGCTTCAAATTAGAATGAGAGATAAATCCATTTATAGGAAAAGCTCAACACTAGCTTACTCTTCTAAACACTGATACGAATTGATTATTATTTATTGACTCCTGCAAGATGTTAGATGTCAGAATTTAATAAAATTCCAAGTTTCAAGTAGTAAAATGGATGCAACAAAATATGTTTAACCTTTAAATTTGATCATTGTGGATAAATTTACCTAAATTATAAATGAAATAGACGTTTCATTATATAAAACTTTTTTTACACTACTCGCGAAGTTATCTCGACGAAGTTAATTGCAGTCCAAAGTACGTGTTAGTAGTGTTGGGGGCTCTTCAAATTCATAAAATTAAACTACAATAACCTGTTTGAAAGCTTGTGTAAAATTGTATGGATTCGAATTCCTTACCTCTGTGTTATCTGCAAATCCCACTCTGGAACGTCCTCTGCAGATTTTACATACCTGAAAAACTAATATTTAAGGAATATTCCAGACATTTCAGGCATATTACCTTGGTCTTTTCTTGAGCTTCTTTCAATTTATTTTCAAATTCTTCAATCATATTTTTCAATGTGTTGATTTTTTGAACATTTTTCTAGAAAAATAAAATGTGCATCAGAACCATTTGGACTCAATGTAAACAATAATCTATTAACGTTTTAGATATCCGAATACTATCTAATACCTTGATCAAAAATTGAAAACATCGCTTGAAACAGAATTCATAATACACTGATTAAAAAGAAAATTGAAATAAATACTTACATTTTCTTCGTCTTCTTGCAGTTGCTTTGTTTTCTGCAAAGTACCTTGAAGTTCATCTATCGTTCTAGTCAAATTACCGATTTCGTCTTGTGTAACCTGGATTATATTACATTATACATTCAGAAAGAAGCAGGTGATAGTTACAAATGAAAAAAAATTATAATATCCCTTCAAAAATTATAAAAAAAAAATTGAAAGAACTGGTTTGGAACAGGAAAACGGATATGATTGTATTTAAGGAAAATCCTCAAAATTTGTTCAATTATAATATTGGCAGATGAACATTAAAAATGTTATGAACTAATTATGTTGATCACGATGTACGAGTGAATAATGAATTATTTATTATTATCTGTAGGAAAGAATAATGGTTTGTATTTATTTTCTAAGACTTACTGTTATCATAAGACATATTCGCTTCTTCTGATCATCCACTGTACTTAGTAAATTTCGATTCTAAAAAATTGTTTACTATATTTGATGTGTGATGGGTGTTTCTCATTTTTTACCTCTTCATTCATTTGACACAATTCATTCATTAGCTTTTTGTTTTCTTTCGAAAGACTTTCCACCTTTTTAATGCAATTATCCTGGAAATACATTTCTGACATGGAATTTCAATGGATGGTATACTAAATATTACCTCTGCATTTATAAAATTATTAATGTCTTCCTTCAATTTCGTCATTTCAATCTCAAGGAGTCTCTGAATATTAAACATGTGTTTTAAACCATAGATGAATAATTATTTCCGGATTACCTTACTTTATCTGTAGTATACTTGAGAACTTTCTCCTTCAAATTTTCCGTTTCATTTCTGAAGTTTTTGTTATCTACCAATAATTTTTCGTTTTCCTCTTGGATACATTTGCATTTTCTCTCAAAGATTTTACATTTTTCTTTAAGTTGTGACCTATCCTTAATCTACATAGCAAAACATATTCAAACTATTTTCAAATGTTCAGAAAACTTTCATACAACCTACAAATTCCTTAAATTGTTTTTCCAAATCCATAATTTGAATTTTCTCTTCTTTTACGTTCACTTCCAAAATATGTTTTTCTTTTTCTAAATTGACTAACTAAAAGTGAAAAATAAGATGTATTTTGGTTCTGCAAATCTTTAAAATAAAATACCTTTGATCCGAGAGTTTCTTTCTGGCTTCCAAGGCAAAAACATTTCTGCAAAAATTATGGATGAAGAGAAAAAAAACGTAGGAAATAACATTGGAATAAAGAAACTGTCCTTAGGTCGAGTGAATGAAATAAATCTAATTATGTACCTATATATTTGAAATATTTACCCAAAACTTAAATTAATAAAATACATTTATTATGAGTGCGTCATATACAATAAATACAATTCATACGAAGGATTTCACAAAAATGATTGCTCTTGTCATTCAGAGGCCTTCAAATTATACTTATTAGTGTTGATGGCGGAAAACTGGTTTCTTTTTCAACTTTTCCAAACATTGATTATTGTTTTTCTTCAGTTGCAGTAATAAGTCTTGAAATTTAATGACATCTCTGATTTTTGTAAATACGTTTTCAGCAGTAATATCACACTAAACGACATAAAATCTAAATTTTTATTCCAAAAATACAATTTGTGGTCTTACAACAGATCGAGTTCTCTCTTCCAAAAATTTCAAGCCATTGTCGACAATATACAGCCTCTCGACCAAAACTTTTACAAGACTGAGTAATTCTTTCAATTGCTTTTGTTTTATTTCAATCAATTCATTCAATTGAATAATTTCATATTCCATAAAACCATACAAATTATCTTTTGTTATTTTTGAAAAATTGCCCAAATCCTCAAAAATTTTTTCTCTATCCCTAGTATCTTTTGGCATAGATTTCTGCAGATTATGTTGCAAATTTTCTACTGAAACTTGAACATTGTACTTCAGCAGTTCTAGTTCATTTGCCTAGAAACAATTGGTCGGGTATCAAACATATAAAATATGAAAACTCATTTATATTTGATACAAAATGCTTACCAAAAATATTGATTTTTCAAGTAATTTTTGCTCTTCAGTTCTCAATTCTCGATTTTCCTAAAAGGAATGTTCCACGATTTCTTTCTTTTATTAAAAACATTAGTTACTTATTTCAAAAATTAAAAACAATACAAATCAACGTTGAGCTTTATTAACCTCTAAGTTATCAACATACATTTTCACAGGTATATGATTAGGTATCGATATATTGGTTTTCTTCAACCTAGATTCAAAATCAGTAGTTTTCTTAACATCACAGGTACTATCAATAAAAGTATTACATCTGTTCATACTGTAATTTGTTAGCTTAGATCGATCTTTAACAGGGCGTAGTAGCTTCTTGAAGTCGATCAAATCATTTTCAGATTTACAAAGATGCAGAGACTTTTCATTCTGAACGGTGCCTTTGTACCTAGTCGTCAAAGCTATTTTTTCGGCATCTTCATTTTTAAATTTATGTTTGCATTTTGAACAATTAGGTGCATGCTCTGTAAAAGTATTATCAATTTTTTTATCTTTTCGTACATCACAATCCTGACGCAAATATATTAGAGTCGATTTTCCCGATTGAACAATTTTCTTAGTATGGTTGACAACCAAAATTTGTTCTCTGTCAGTAGTTTTTCGATGGATATCGGGAGGACTGACTTTTGAAGGTTTATCAGGACAGGAGACCTATGGACAAGGAGAAGGTGGCAGATTGGATTTGGACTTTGTTCATCAATCACTTTCAATTATTGAATACATAAGTTATGATTTAAAAAAATACAGAGTTACTTATAGAAAAATTTCATTAGACATTTTTCAGGAATTGTTCCGTCTGTAATACTGATATTCTACCTTTTCGAAATTGTTGAAACTGTTAATATTTCTTATGCAGTGAACTTATTGAACAGAATACAGGGCGTTTTTTTAGCTGATACCACTATTGTTATCTTGGAAACGGTAGGTCCTACAAGGACAATCAAAAGGAACGAAAGTTGCTTTTTTAGAAATGCAACATAATGGTATTCTCAGATCGATAAAATCATCAACTATTTCTGGGATATTTGAAAATGACAGATTTCACTTTTTTGCTCTACCACCTCCATTTTCAATAATATCAAAAAATGACACAGGAACTTCGTTTAATGTTTTTCATAATTTGGTTCAACCTATTTTCCAATGCAACGTTTCTTTTATTTAAATCCATCATCAATATATTTTTTTTAATACGAACCTGTATATTTTTTATATATTTTGGTAGTCATTGTAATTACAAATTTATCGGTATATTACAACATACGTATTTCTTATGTTTTTTCCAAAAACACATCATCAATATACCATTTATGAAGAGCTCGAATTTCCGAATGTTACTGAAATCCAAACAGAGTTCTCCCTTTGGGTGATGACGTTCATTGAGAGCCTGAATATTCAGTGAAATCCAAATAATAGATTTTTGTCAGGGTTGTCTTGATGAAGAGATGCCAAAATCTCTGTATCAATATTTCTGTTCAGAAAATGAGTATATCAACAAGAATTAACTAATAAAAATACTATATCAAAAAAGTCATAGACGATATTCAGGAGAAACATGATAAGCGATAATTTCTTTTTGAAGTAAGCCATAAAATAAATGTGAGTGTCAAGTTAATTGAAAAACACAAAATAAAACAGTTATTCAATTTCGTGGGCAATTTCAAGGTATATGCTTTTTGTTTATTCGAGATGTTTGGGAAATGATACCAAATCTCTGACAATGTATCAGGAATTGTATCCTGAACTACAACCCCCTGAACATAGATATTATAAATGTATCGAAAATAGTTTAAAAAATTATGAATCCTTTGAAAAACCCTCCAAATGAAAATGTACGGTTACTGAATATGGTGGCGATAATGAAATCGGCATTTTAGGTGAGTTCAAAAAAGATTCACAATAATGATAAAGTGGCATTCATTTGATTTAGCATTTGTATTGAAAGAAAAAATGAGAACAAGGGAGTATCTCTGAGAGAGATTATTGCTCATAATTCGGCCGTCTCTCATACATCTGTTCGGAAAATTTTTAAGAAAAATAAATTCAAGCCTTATCGAGTCAGGAAAGTCTATCATTTGCGTTTGACGGACTTCAATAGGGGAAAAGTTTTTTGTAGTGGCTCATTAGAAAATTTCGCCAAAATACTGAAATTTGAAAAAAAAATTGTGGTGTGATGAAAGTATATTTACCAATAACGGATGGTTCAACAGGAATATACATTATCACTGGTGACAAGGAAATGAATATTTACATAGAGTTACCAATTTTCAAGAGAGATATGGTGTTAAATTATAACTTGGTGTTCTTGGTAATAAAATTATTGGCCTCCACTTTTTTTAAACATCTCTTATCGGAAAATTATACTTGGACTTCTTATCAGGGACTCCAATTGAGTTTCTAGAAGATTTTCCACTGACCCTAATAAGGGAATATGAGTAGTTCCAATACGACGGAACTCCACCGCATAGCAGGAGAATGTGCAGAGATTTCCTCAATACAACTATGCCAGGATGATTTATAGGATATTATGGTTCTATTGAATAGCCACCACGTTCACCGGACCTTACTCTTCTACATTTTTTGTTATAGGAATTCACAAAAAATAAAGTATTCAGAAAAATTTTTGAAAATATTGAGGAATTGAAAGATTCAATCAGAAGAGCATGCACTCCATAGATATTAGAGAACTGCCACAAGCACACTATTTCTTGAGCTAGTATTTGTTTAAGAAATGATGGAAGTCAATTTGAACATTCAATGCGATATCGCGTGAGACGGTAACTTAAAAAATGTAACTTGAGGCATTCCGTTATGATGTTCATTTTCTACGATTTATTATTGACATTCTCTTTCGCAACAGTTTTTTTTCAATGTGGTTTATTAAGATACTATTAACCATGTGCTTGCAACGATATTTAGAAATTCGATTTAAAAAATATTTTAATGATTGATTTCAATGAACGAAACGTCGCATTGAAAAATGGGTCGAACCAGATCATGAAAAACATAAAATAAAGTAAAAAATTCCTCTGTCATTTTCAGTTTTTTGCAAATATCTCAGAAACGACTGGTGATTTTGTCAATCTGAGAATACCATTATCTTGCATCCCCAAGAAGGCAACTTTTGTTCCATTCAGCCGTTCTTGTTGGACCTACCATTTCAGAGATAGCAATAGAGGTATCAGCTAAAAAATGACCTGTATATATTTTAAAGATTTCATTTCAAAGTAAACTCAAGATTACTAAGCATTCTTGACACCATGTAAAGACAAAAAATATGATATTGATAATTAAATGGAGGATATCTGATAAATTGAATATTTTTTGTTTTAATATGATATTGTTTTTTATTTTGTTTTTCTCCAAAATCCTCTGAAAGATGCTTTTAGTTGGATATATTTCTTTTATTTGAGAAAAGTCATGAAAAATACTTACAAAATATTTCATCTAGGTGATCTATATCTTGATGGAATATTTTGTATCGTTAAACTGTGCAAATATGTATCACTAAAAATTTTGAAATTTTATCAAGTCTTAATATACCTGGTGTTTCAGCTGTTTTATTTCTTTCCTTAATTCCCTGATTATATCATCTTTGAAAGCTATTTGTTTATCAGCTTGTATACACCTATCTTCTAATTCTTGACAATCCCTCTTCAGTTTCAGTATTGTATCATGTTTGGAAGCAACCTCTTCTGTCAAAGCTTGTCTCATGTCAACCATATTCTAAAAAAGCAAGGAATTAGGTTAACGTTATTGATACTTAATTTCCATATTACCTAACTCGCTCAATTACATTTTGAACTGAATTTGGCCTCAACATTTCTCAATCTTAACCAATGCACAATATGTAACGAAGTTAGTTTTTGATAAAAATTCTCACTTGATCATGTAATCATGTCACAGTTCATATTGTAATTTCAAATTAAAAGAATATATCGAGAGTACAAGACACTTCATTTCTTACCATCGTTGTCCCCATTTCATTTATCATGAGTTTAAGTCTTTAGAAAGATTTTTTGGCAATTCACTAGAAGCCTCGTGAATCACTTTCTATTGGGATGAAATTGGAACACGATCAAAAATCGAAGTATTTCTGTATTTATTCATAGTCCAGAAACATGTTTTCTGTTGAAACTTTTGAATACAGAAAACGAATTTTTATAGCATTTTTTCAATTTCATTTGAAATATTTTGAACGCATAATTTGCTTCTGGAATATGTCGCTCAGTTTTTTTTGTTTTCCAAAGATTTCTGACTACAAATGGTCAAATAGATAATTGAACTATCCATTATGAAATTCCCTAGAAAAACTGGCAACTCTTTTTTTTTATGTAAAATATTCCTTTGTCGAATTTATGTCATATTCAGCTACTGATGCCCTACAGTTTTCCAAAACAAGCACTTTCCCTAAGCACCAGAACTACAATACTTTTCTCGATGAGAGTTTCAACAACCAAAATGGCATCTTTAAAATAGTTTTCATCATTTTTAGAAAAACAAGCCTTTGGCTTCTTTTTGACACAAAATGGAAGAAAAAGCACTCTCAAAACAACTACTTGACTTTTCAGCACCAATCTGGATCACTCAATTTATTCATAACTTTATATTATTATGTCACAGATGGGTCATGTCACGATGACAGTATGTAATGACATCCATTTGCTTATTTGATTTAATCCCAGCCATAGGAGTACAAATTGAATAGAAAAAAGTGTTTTTATAGAATTCAATGCTCATATAAAAGATGTTTTAAAGTATTCTTTCTTTGGTCTCCTGAAGACTCCAACTTGGTTGGTGAAACACGTGTCAAGAATAGTATTGTATTTTCGATGTATGGAAAAATTACTTATTTTGGATTGATTTTAAGCTAGAGGTTCCAGTTTTACCTTTTATTAATCCTAAAATTTTAGTTTCTCTCAAATCATTGTCATTAAAATAATTTGATACTTGATTCACTATGAACTAACGATTTCAGTACAAAAATGTCTATATATTTTCAAACAAAAAAGTTACAGGTATGGTAAGAGTTCAAATGAATTACATTTCAGTTTCCAGGACCATCCTAAAACTGAATGAATGTTAATAGTAATAAGAGTTGTATAAACTTTAATTTTCAGATCACAGAAATCAAAATAAAACCCATATTTTTCTGTGATAGTTTTAGAATCTACTTTGATTTTGACTAGCAAATCAAATAAACATGGGTAACAATTTTCATGCGATTTGGTTCTCATATGAGGAGATAAGCTGAGAGTAAAGTAGAAATAATTGAAAAGAAAAACGTATTGTCCAAAAACGCTATCTTCTATGAAATTGAATGAGGTTACATTGGGTGACCATCTGAACTGTAGTAATTAATAAAATAATTATAAATACCTGTTATGGCAAATGAGCCCGGTAGCAGTGATTTTGATCAAAGAATGTAAACTTTCAGAGCCGGAGATTAATGTGTGAAATTGATTGTCCGTTTTTTTGGCCATGGTCTGCATGATTTAATTCCTGACGTTTCTTCTACTACTGCGATATCAAAGACATAGTGCCCGAGTTTGTGCTCGAGTTGTTGTTTCCGTCGTTCGGGGCACTGCGACCGTTACCATATCGCCTTTGATAATTTCTACCGTAGTAGTAGACGAAACGGCAGACATAACAACCTACAGACCACGACCAAAAAACTCGGAAAATAGCTTTCACACAGCAATGATTTTGTTCAGAAGCAAATATTAATCAATTAACGGCATAAACTCTGAATGTAGTTTCAATAATGAAAAGATAAAAAAAAGGACTTAAAAACAATGTTTTTGAGTTTTAGCTAAAACAAAAAAGTTAGCAAAAAGATTCCTATGATACAGACACTTCCAATTGGCGGGACCGAAGTGATCCAGTAACCCTGTATTTAGGAATTTCTTTAATTCAAGAGCCGAAAGCAAAACAATTTTAATATATAATAAATTCAAATTAATCTTACGATTAATTGGATATACCCCACTGATATATATTTAATTTTTGCGGTTTTGGTATTCCAATCCAGCTTTTTAGAGAAATTACCTATTTCACAATACAGTGTGATGCTATAGAAAAAGAAAATATGTTCGATTGGAGATTAGAGACCTAGTTTCATATCTCACTCTAAAGCTACGTCAATTTTCAGTAAACCACTGTTCACAAGATAGTTTCTCAACAATTACAAAACCACGTTACTCTAGGCCTATATGGTTTCTATAGTCTGAGGCAAGTGTTCAACAAAAGGCAAACTGAAATACTGTGTGTGATTAAAAGAGAAGATTGAACCCCGGTTTATTTTTTATGGTTTTTATTACCTACAAAATAATATAACAGAATTCTCTCATTGACTCTGCTTGTTCTGAGAGAGAAATTGTAATAGGTACTAAAAATGGAAACAATAATCTTGAAAGTATGAACTGTCTTAAGTTTGGTAACATTTCTATTAGATTTCCTTTTCTCATCCTCCTGTTTCCTTTGAAAAACCTTTTTTTTTGAGTAATAGAAAAACAAGAGAGTAGAAAGAAAGGAATTATTTCGTTCTATCGAAATCAAGAATAATGGTCCTGAAATGTCTCAAGGTATATATCTCAAAATAAATACATTTAGTTACGGATACAGATATTTGTATTCAAAAACAAAACAAATGAATTGATAAAACAAATAGTATTTTATATTTACCTGTTGCAAAGTATCACACTCTTCTTTTTTTGATTGAAGTTCTCTAGTTAGAATTTCGATATCATCAATTTTCATTTGCAATTCCTGAATTTTGCTGCGAAAATAAATAAATTTCATAAATTATACTCAAACATTTTCATCAAATTTACCATTCTCTATCTTTGACTTTCTTCTCCTCCTGCAAAACAATGAAAAATGAGAGTCAATATAAATAAATGTATGGTAAAATGTAGTGTTCCATTAGGGTTATGTTAGTCTTTCTTATTCCAGTCTTTTGAAGCCAGAAAGCACTTGGTTGCTCAAAAATGAAATTGACCTATAACGCATCCACAAAAGGTTTAGTTATATTCCTCAAAAGCCCTGATTTTTTTCACAAAAGAAGCTTGAAATATTATCTCATGGTCTTAAGATTGCAATTTACTCTAGTCAAGATAGTTATTGGAAAACAAGAGCACCTTCCTATTAGTATATATTTATACTGTATCGTATATCTCTTCTTATTTTGAAGTATTGAGGTATTACTACATACAACTTTTAATTTTCATCACTTCTGACATGATTCATATAAAACTTAAATATTTGTGTTTTAAGTTGATATTCTTATAATACCCATCACCAAGCATTCATATCATTCATATTGATAGAGACATTACAAATGCTGAAACGAGCAGTGAACTTCAAACTCATGTAATGTAATGGTTAGGATTGTCACTGTTTCTTAATTATTACTGTGGAACAGCCATTGGTTGATGAATAAATAACATAAATTACATTTTCGTTGTAGTTTTTATATAAAGTAATTAAAGTCTCAAAAACTTTTTCGAAGACCGATTTCAGTTCTCACACAAGTTCTACATGTTCATGACATATTATACTTGTTATTCGATTACACTAACATACGATGATTTCCAGTATTTATATAGGGTACCTCTTGAGTGCTGTAACTAGTTTTGAGGGGTGATTTCCATTTGATATTTTATGAAGAACAGTTTCTATGAACATCCGTTCAAAATTCCTTAGTTTTGAATGTGATTTTTCGTACATCTCTGAAAATACTAAAAATGAAAACTACATACTTGGAAAAAGGTTATACTTCCCCAGCGGTGAATTAGCGCAGTGGTAGTGCGTCCAACTCACATTCGAAAAGTTATAAGTTGAATCTCTACCTCTACCAGATATTTTTCACGATAGAACTTATCTAGTTGAAGTTGAGATCATTAATGCTGTGGCATCCAAAAAAAAGCATATACCATATAATATCGTAAATTTCATGAAGATAGATCCAAGTTATACGAAGTCCACGAAGGGTAGTTGACATTGTAGATCAACTTTTTTTTATTTGGAATGTTTTGAAAAACTTTTAAGTAGAAATGACTATTTGAAATGAATAGAATAATTCGAATAAGTGCATATAATCGTTTTTACCTGATATTTTGAACATCAAAGGAGTAGAAGACAAAAACTATCTATCCTTGATATTTTATCCAATACTAGATTCAAAAGAATTTTCAGTTTCGGATGAACTTGATAAGGCTGAAATGAATGAAAAACCGGTGCATCCCTATTACTTTTCTTTTTTTAAATAATTTCCAGTAAAAACTAGACTTCCAAAATCAATCTTTGTGAATCTCTGCACCTGTGTTCACATTTGTAATGGAAATTGTCCAGTCAATTTACATAACAATTCATTTCCCAAATAAGAAGGTATATGCATGTGCATATCTATGCAGACCTTTCAAATATGTTACTGAATGTCATCTACCAGCATCTCACTGAAGCCTTTCTTCGCCACTTCGCCTTTCCGATAACGTTTTACAAGTTTAAACAAGAAAACTCTTGCCGGGAATGCGCGGCGCCTACACTTCTAGAGAAGATAATTAAGTAGGTAGTTTAAATAGCATTAATTTCAAATTTCACCACCGGTCAGCATTGGTGAGTAATAAAATTTCATCATCGGTATTGGTAGAAACATTTTTTATGTTGATTTTTTGTAAAGTTTCAAAAAATCCTTAGTTTTGCATTGAATATTTATTCAATTTTGCCAACTCAAAGGGCGCCTTTAACGCCTTGGCGCCGTCGTGCGCCGCACGACCTTGCCCATATGGACGGTGCGTCCCTGGACCTAACACGCCGACCACTAACTAGACCACGGTTAGAAGAACCAATTGTACAAGAAATTGATGATAATTTTTCAATTAGTACTGGAAATAATGAGCCATTATCTCAGCCATTCAACTGTTTGGAGAATTTTGAATGCAAATAAACTGTAACTATATTCATTCAATGTGTATAGACTGTGCCTTATAGACCCAGACTTCTGGGCCTATAAAAGTCAACATGCCATTGTGGTGGACACAACGTATGGTTTGATAATAATTAGATAGGTCATTCACGATCTTTAAGTAGCTACCAAGGTCGCCAAACTTGCATCCTTTTCCAGTTATTTTTACATTTGTGTAGCAAACGATGGAAAGACTTCATTTACGCATCTTAACCTAAGATGCTTCAATTAATGAAAATACCATTTTTAGAATGCGTTTTTACAAATACAATACTGAATAAAATACCACCATCAATGATAATTTTTGTGATATGCTACTCCTCCTTCTCCTCTTCAAAGAATAATTATCCGACATTGGAAATTTCGAGAACAAATGCATTTGATTGGATTAGTCTATTTTTCTCGGAAGCGACACTTATACCTACCGAAAAGTAAAAAAAAATTGAATGTTCCTCACCTCCCATGTACACTACTGACTTTCTATTGCTAACAAATATCATCACAAAACGAATGATTTACTCCACAACAGTAACAACGTTATATGATATAACTTTTGACTAACATATTGTAACGAATCTGAAGCCGCCCGACTCATATGCCAGCCAATTCATCGAATAAATACACGACTCACCGCGAAAGAATCCAGCCTGAAACCGCCGCGAAAATTCTAGACGAGTACCGAACAGACTACAGAATTCTACGATGGACCTTTACCGATATTACCGGCTACTCGTCCAGAGAGGGCAGTTGAATTCAGAAAGTGAATCGAGTGGTTAAACAAGGAATTCAAATAGTGGAAATAAATTAAGCTTTAGTTGCTAAGTGTTGACTATACCGATCAAATAGAATAGTACCTAAAGGCTGGCTTTCGACCAAAAGAGGTCAGATGTCAATCTTGCTGAAGTGCCCATCAGTAAGTTGAGGACCGCTCGGAGAGCGGGGGTGGATGGAGTGGGGTATTAGGTTCTCCTCGCTAACTAGCTGGGGGGGGGAAGCTTCTACTTCAAGGCACTCAACCCGGGAGGGGGCATGGGGGAAAGTGTTGAATATATATTAGTTTGTGATAGTGAAATAATGTTAGAAATAAATTTGTTTAAGACAGATAATTCTTTAATTCGTTACAATTGGTGATCAGAAGTGGATTTGTAAAATAAATATGTGAGCGCGTGGTGGACAATCTTTTGTATTGCGGTGAAATTTATTATAAGACTTATTTGTTCGCGCAGATAGACTGGTGATTCGTTGTGTTTCGCGAAGTGGACAGTACCGGACTACGGAAACATAAACTGATAGACCTTTCTCGCGAATAATAGACTTGTGAAAGTAAATAAGTGTTTTTCGGATTCGATAAAAATAAATGCAAAAAATGGGTTGATGAATCTGTAATTCATTCTAGTTCCAACTTGAAGGAGCTGTTTATACTGAAAAAACATATCCTGATTCAACAGATACATAAAATGATGCTAAACGTAAACATTGATCTCTACTAATTGAAAAAAGGAAAAGCTACTATCAAAATCGTATATTTAACTCATCGAATACTATGCGTACATCTTGGACAATTATTTCAGAATTATCGAACAACTATAAGAAAACTGACCAAAATATGGTAATCAATAATAACGGAGAATTGACAGAAGATGCATCTGAAATAGCTTCTCTCTTCAACCAATTCTTCATCAACACTCCTATTAATCTATCGAACAATATTCCTAAACTTAGTCATCTCAAGCGTAACAATGATTTCAATAAGGTGAGCATGTTCTTGCAACCGTTTTCCGAAAAAGAAGTTCTTTACTTTTAAAGAGAGGATTTATTTTGAGGGATGTCCTCGAGAATATTATTGCTCTCTTACCTCATTTGGTGAATTTATCTTTTGAAAGAGGTTCATTTCCAAATGCTATTAAAATTGGAAAAGTCATACCTATTCACAAGAAAAATGATTCTAAATTATTATAAAATTACAGACCGATAACTATTCCATCTGTATTTTCAAAGTTATTTGAATATGCCTTTCTCGAACGTCTTTAGAGTTTCATTGAGAATCATAAGATTTTATCTGATAAACAAAATGGGTTCCAGGGCGGAAAATCAACATCAACCGCTGTATTATCTTTTTTTAACCAAATAATCGAACATATTGCTGCTGATGAATGTCAATCTTCTGCGATTTGAGCCGAGCGTTTGACTGTGTAAACCACGGAAAACTATTGGAATTGTTAGAACTATATGGTTTGAGGGGTCTCCCATTAAAATAGATTGAATCATTTCTGGTGTCACCTGACACTAATTTAATAAATGCTAATTGTAGTGATGTGATGAATATCAAATTTTTTCAATGAACGTTCTTTATTTTTCAACGGGAGTAACGAAGACCCTCCAGATAGTAAGATAACGGTTTTACTGGGTTAAATGCCAAGCCGAAGTCAAGGACTGGTGTAGAAAATGTGCTGTATGTGCTGCCAGTAACGGACTTCCAATGCGCCAGTATAACGTGGGTAGTCCCTTTGAGAGAATCGCCATCGACATCGCCGGCCCGTTCCCAGAGTCTGACCATGGGAACAAATACATCCTGGTAGCCATGGACTACTTCAGTAAGTGGGCAGAAGCCTATGCCCTGCCCAACCAGGAAGCCTTTACCGTCGCTGACGTCCTGGTAAAGGAATGGATATGTCGATTCGGTGTCCCATTGGAGGTGCATTCGGACTAGGGCAGAAATTTCGAGCCCAACCTGTTGGACATTTGAAAGACCAGAACCACAGCCTTACATCCACTGTCCGATGGAATGGTGGAACGAATGAATAAGCCCATAAACCGCCACTTGTCCAAGGTAGTCTCTGACCATCAAAGAGACTGGGACCAGTAACTTCACCTGTTCCTGCTGGCCTATCGTTTGGCAGTGCACGAGTCAACCAGCCAAACTCCTGCCAGTATTATAATGGGCCGAGAGCTGCGGCTTTTTTGCGATCTGATATTTGGGACGCCGGCAGAACAAAACATTGCGGGGGAAGTCTATGTCAGCAAGCATCGGCAGAGAATGGACGACATCCATGAACGAGTCCGTCTCAACAGCGATAAGTTGAAGAAGGCCTATGACATCAAAGCGAATGCTGAAGGATTCGAAACCGGTGACCTAGTTTGGCTGTACAACCCAAAGCGACGCCGTGATTTATCATTGAAGTTGCGGAACTCGTGGGAAGGTCCGTACAAAATCATGAAAAAGATTAATGACCTCGTCTACCAAATCCATAAGCCACCTCGAGGAAAACCTAGGGTCGTCCATTCTAATAGATTGGCTCCTTATGCTGGAAAGCACGACCAAGTTCGCGCCCTCAGACCACCAGAGGATGAAATAACGTTCCAGAAGTTCATGTCTTTAAACTCGATCGGACAGAAGGTCAAGGTTTCAGTTGAATACGCACTAGCTCACTGCGTGGCAGTGAGCCAAATGTCCAGAGGTATCGCTGTGGTATTCAACAAGAGATTCAGTCAGCTCCAAACATTACGAGAACAGAATCCTGAAGTCGGAGGAGTGCTACAGTTGAAGAAGACCAGAGAAACGTCTTCTACTTGGTGACCAAAAAGCATTCTCGAGACAAACCGTCCTATGAAGATGTCTTGAGGAGTCTTACCAGACCGAGGGAACGATGCTTGACCAGAATCTCGTGGACTTGGCAATCCCGAAAATAGTCTCTGGGCTCGACAGGCTGAGTTGGAGAATTGTGAGAAGCATGTTGGAAACGATCTTCAGATCCAGCGGCATCCAGATTTTGGTGTGCGGTAACCATCTTCCACGACCGAGCATGAAGACTGTGGAGTATTACTTCCATCAAACTTCAGAGTGCAGATATGGGGAGTTCTGCAGGTATCGACACACGCCAAGGATGACATTTCGGGGCGAAACGTCATTAAGAAGAGGGCAATGTAACAAATCTGAAGCCACCCCTGACCGATACGCCAGCCAATTCATCGAATAAATACATGACTCACCGAGAAAGAATGCAGTCTGAAACCACAGCGAAAATTCTAGACGAGTACCGAACAGACTACAGAATTCTACGATGGACCTTTACCGATATAAAAGGCCGGCTACTCGTCCCAGAGAGGGCAGTTGAATCGAGCGGTTAAACAAGGAATTCAAATAGTGGAAATAAATTAAGCGTTAGTTGCTGAGTGTTGCATATAAATTAAGTTTGTGATAGTGGAATATTGTTAGAAATAAATTTGTTTAAGACAGATAATTTTTTAATTCATTACAATATTAAGTTTTCATTTTCAGCAGTTTCCGGAATTTATACAAAAAAGTACATTTTTACATCAACTTTCGAAACACCGTATTTCCGTAACTAACGAGTTTTGAACTCATAGGAACTTTTCCTTTGAAAATATCATTGTATATTGAAAAATATTGAAAAAATTCGAAATATTGTCTTTGCCTGTATGCAATAAAAGAGAAACAATTTAATGACGATGTAATATCAATGGAAACAATATATAGGTTTGTTCACATATTATTAATTTTACTAAAATATTTATTTAAGAATTTTAAAGTACCATAACACTCAACACAAGTTGTTAACTGCTGTTAATGAAGCACTGCACATATTAGAAAGCAGTATAATTTTTTCCTACCTTAATGATATCACCAATTAAAGACCTGAAAGAATGAAACTATTAAAAGAGAAGAAACATCACCTTGATCCCAGCTTATTATTGTCATTTTGTTAATCGATACAAATACAAGAAAACAATTATTATTTGAATGTACATCACAGACCTAGAAATATTGTTTTTTGTCACAAAAAAATCTGCTTCGCCATTTTTTCCGAAAAGGTCCTGATAGGATATTTCATAAAATTTTAAACCTCCTACACTCCATTCATTATCTTCGCGTATGCGCCTTATAAATTCCATTAAATTCTTCAGGTCATTCTCCAGATTGAATATTTTTTGTTGTGGTTCTTTCAGTATGGCACTTGTGACATCATATTCCCTGTATCTGTTCATCACCTGTATGAAAGCAACTGATAGGTGTTAAAGAATTTTGATGACATATAACTTACGGGGTCATCTTATATAGTTTTTCCTGACTTGAATCAATTTTAGCAACTAGTATCAAAAGCACTCGCTTTTAGAGTTTGATAAAAATGAAAACACCAGGTAATTATCTTTGATAAAAATGAATCAGTATCAACATTTCATTTGAGAAAAAAGTAAACAGATGGGGGGGGGAGAGAATAAATTTCATTGAACAAAAAGCCCATGAAAAATTTGTAAAATCATCAAAGTAAACGCAGTTATCACATAAACATACATAGGACTTTTTAAATAATGAAATATAATGAGGTGAACATCTAAATATTTACAATTCCACATTCTATAAACATAAATAAAATATATCCGAATTTATTTTCAAAAATATATCACGACAAGTTTTGAATATTACTGGAGTTTTTTCCCAACACCAAACCGTTATTTTAACACCTCGACACGTGTTTCGATCACCAAGTGATCATCTTCAAGAGAAAGATCAAACTGTTTAAATCTAATTGGTCATTCAGTAAAATGTTTGAATTATTTTTATTTCCATTGTTTCTAAGTAATTTAGCTTCAAATCTTTATTTTCTAAATGTAAAATTTCGGAATATCCGTTAAAGATATGATTTTTTTCTAAAAGATGATTTGAGAGTGTCGGACTTGTCTCATTCACAACTCAAATGATGTTACTTTTTTTTGCTTTTCATATTCAATATCACACAGAAACAGAACTCAACATCTCTAAGTTTCCAGCAAATTTTTTATTCCATATATTTTCCAACTTTAAATGGATAACATTATTACACGTTTGGCAATACTGGCATTTGGTCTGAAATGACTTATGCGCATGTGCCATGCCTAGGCTTGCGCGGTACATTTTGGGTACTATTTCCTTGAAAATTTCGGTACTTTTTGAATTGACGTTGCGGCAGCACTGCTTGCAGGTATCGCACTGATGATGGCGTAACAGCCGAAAGTACTTTGCAATTTACAAATAATTTTTTTTACACGGAATACGATTCCTTTCCTGATTTAACGTCTGAAATGACAGTCTTTGCATTGAAATTTGGGCACCGGCACCGTATAGAACTATTCGTGTATTTACTTCTACCGTATAGAAGTGTATTTACTTATAAACGGCGATTTGGGTGAATTTTTCCAGTAGCAGGAATATGACCATTAGCAGTCTAGGTTTAAGGTTATGTCGATGGTTGTGAGCGCTTAGTGGAACCACAGCATAGGTAACAATGCTTGTTACCTATGCTGTGGTGGAACGCACCTGATTTCTATGGCCGTTGCTTCTCATTAGAGCGCATTTGGCCAGGCTCCTCCTGTGAACATAAGCTTTTTCCGGAGGCGCAGCGGTCTGCACGAAGCAATGCTACCACTTTTTCTTTAAAAAACTCTTCATTTCTCACTGATCACCTTCTTCTCGGGAGGTATTCTGATAAAAATAACACAAATCGACAAAACCACTAAACACATGTTCATATCTATTATCAAAGTGACGACCTCGTTGAATCCTTCGACGTCGAATGCATCCTGGTAAGAGGCCGCCAGTCCTCTCAATACGTCTCTTACTTCAATATTTATTCGACTTAACTTTATTTTGGAATACATCTCTCTACTTTGACCACGATATCTGTCCTCTCTCAAGAGATTTTTGGAAATTTTTTTTTCACGAATTCAAATTGATCCAAAGGGCTGCCGAAACCGCCTGAAAAATTACTCAAGCAATTGGTGATATTATGGTGTTAATGAATGCAATGTTTGATGTTGGTTTGCGAAATTCCGTTCCGGAGATTTTAGGAGGTGAACCCCAAAGTGGTCGACCTACAAAACAATCAAAGACCCTGGTGGAGACTGACCCATCACGAAAGGTGCGTGGGATGGCGGGATAACTAGACGTCAGCTCCCATGCGGTTTTTGATAGTTTAAAAATTATAAGAGAGGTCAAAAAGTTCGAATATCAGATTTGAAAGATCGACAGAAATTATCACGTTTCGAGATCTGTTTTATTTTGCGGAACCAAAACGATGCTTCTTTGGATCGAATCGTGATGAAAAGTGGATCCTCTACGACAACAGTAGAACTAGATCTATCGCCAACCGACTTGGCGATAGATCTCCACTCCAAATACAATATGGCAGACGACCCAAGAAGACGAGCTTTTTTCTGCATCCCCATGATGGGGTATTGAATATATATATATATATACCTCTCGAAGCGAAGCAGTAACTCGTCTTGATAATTTTATTTTTATACTTATATGAAAATATTATGAGGATATAATTGACATATATCCAGTTTTTCACTAATTTCTAAAAGATACTCATTTGAAAAATCATATTTTTCATTATAGATTATTTTTAGAAAGTATTTTTGAATAACTTCAAGTTTAGTCCAGTAGGCCTCTAATATTCCATATTGTAGTTCTGATTGAACCAGAGCAAAATGAAGTAAAATCGGATGGCAGGAGGACCCTTAATTTTTTCAGCAAATAACTGATTTGATGATCCCATCTCAAATGTTTGTCAATCATTATGCCCAAGTACTTGATACAGTCAGCCTCAAAGATTTGGATACTCTCACTAATTTTCAATGGACCTAATTTTGGTGAAAAATTTTGGTAAGCACTGAAAGTCAAATGTTAGGTTTTTATCAAAATTTATCGTTCATAAATTACTATCAAACCATTTCTTGATAATTTAGAAATCTGCATCCACACTTACTTTCAAATTATACCAGATATTAGCGGTATATGAAATCACCGTATCACCTTCAGAAGATCGAATTTTCCCTTCAGTTTGCATATAAAATAAATCATTGATGAACAATTACGGGCCCAAAACAGAATCTTGAGGAATCCCATAAATACATTTTTTTTTGTCATTGTATATATCATTAGTTTTAACTTGTTGATTTCTATTTTTCTAATAACTTTCCATTAGATTGTATGTAGTTCCACGAAAGCCAATTGCTTGCATTTTTTCCAAAAGTATTGAATGGCTGACTATATCAAAAGCTTCAGCTAAATCAAGAATAACAGATAAAGTTGGTATTTTATCATAAATACATTATTTACTATGTAACAAATTGCATTCTGTGTAGACTAATTTTGTCTGAATCCGAATTGAGTATTTGAGAAAAAATGGATTTTATCTGAATATTTTTCAATTGGATTTTTTCAAATATTTTTGCTAAACTAGATATCACTGTGATAGATCGATAATAGCCAGGTGGTTCGACGTGGGTGCTTTATTCACTCACTCGAATTGACTGCCGTTTTGGCCGGTGGTCCAAGCCCCAGTCTGAACGATCGATTTTCAAGAAAAAACGTTCAATCCGTAATAAGAATCACACGTTAAAAGGTAAGACCTCGTTAATCCTTAGCTTTAAAAAGAGAATGCTCAACTTTTTAAGTAATCATAACAGACTATGCGAATCTCAATATGGATTCCAAAGCCATAAAAACACAGGCGATGCAATCTCTTCGTTTCTGGAAGATGTATATATTGGTTTAAATAATAACGAATCTATTGGGGCAATATTCTGTGATTTCTCAGAAGCGTTTGACTGCGTGAACCATGAAACACTATTATTTAAACTTTAGTGCTATGGTTTTAGAGGACTGGCTTTACAGTTATCTAACAGGCAGGAAGCAGTTAGTAAAACTCCAAGGAAATATATCGCATATTGAGACTAATACATCAGGTGTACCACAAGGTTAGGTTCTGCTTTATCTGAATGATCTGGTAACCACTGATATTAAAGGGAAGTTCATACTTTTTTGTGGATGACACCACGATCCTTTGGCGTGGGACAAATGAAGGTAATCTCAGAGACATCATAACTCTGGATCTGTATAGGGTTAAACAGTGGTGCAATTCAAACTCCTTATGTTTCAACATAAATAAAAGAAACATGGTTTGCTCCAAACTCAGTTTTGATGACTTGCTTATAGAAAATCACGCTATAGTTAACAAAACGCACACAAAACTTTTAGGAATATTTATAGATGATAAATTAAAATTTGATGAGCATATAAAAAATGTATGCAAAATAACTGCATCTGGCTGCTATGCACTTCAAGTTTTTCCTAACGAACTCAATCAATCATCAGCCAGAGTTATATTTTTCCTTGATAGAGTCGCACGTGAGATATGGAATTGCCTTTTGGGGCTATTGTAGTCAGCAACTATTAGCAAATACAAATTTTTCTGTGATATATGAGAGCAAGAAAATATACAACCACCTTCCAATGTGCTATAGGGCAATAGCAAATTTAAAAAAATTCAGAAAATTTGTTAAAAAAGTACTTCTGCAAAAAGCCTATTATAACTTAAAGAAATATTACAATGATGTATTTTAACTCTTAGTATTTCAGATGCTTACATATATGTACTGATTTATTCATTTATTATCTGTAATGGTTTATATATTGTTTTATTTATGTGTATTCGTATATGTACATTTTTAAGTCTATAATGATTGTTCACTGTATATCATAATTTTAATATTTTTTAAAAACTTTATCATCATTGACTTCATAAAGTTTCACTAGCTTTGTCAATAAGGATTTCTTGGACAACAAAGCATGATTGATTGATTAGCCATAACTTTTGTATCTGTTGTAGTTACACCATAAGTCATTTTTATGCATTCAATGTTATTATTTTCAGATTCATTACATATTTTTCAATACAACTCCATAGTTCTTTGGATGTTCTACTATTTTTGTTAATTTCACTCTAATAAAAGTTAATTTTAGCTTTATTCAAAATGGTTGTTAATTCATTCATTTATACTCGTTTTCAAGTAGTTTATTATTTCCGTTTTTTTGCAACTTAGTATATAGTTCATGCTTTTTATTTACAGAATTTTATAATCCACAGGTCATCCACTCTTTTCTTATTGTTTTTTTTATTTGGACTTTTTTCGTATTTTCATCAATACAATTTTTAATACTTATGACAAGATGATTAGCAAGATTGTTTACACACCTCATTTTATAAAAATCATTTCAATTCAAATTCCTGAAGGATTTATATAACTTCTCATAATCAATAAAAAATGTGTATTTCATTTCATTGGTATTTTTAGTAAATTTTCTTTGAGAAAGATATTTCACATATGTATGTCAAGCCAAACATAGTGGCCAAATTGATAGCTAGTCAATTTTCATATTTTTTTTGGACATGTTTGACCCAAAATTCTTCAGTGGATACCGTTTTATACATTTGCAAAGACACATCTTCTTGCAAATCAATTAAAAAGGTGCTACTAATTCATTTCTCTTTCCAATCTGACATAGGGTGGCAGAGTTACGAAATCCCTAGTTCCAAATCCAAACATCAATAACTCCGTGACCCTGTTATAGAAATTAAAAAAGTGAAGGTCATTGTGTAGAGAATTGAAATACCTTTCATATGAAATGTCACAAGACCCTATTTCTCAATCCAAGATACAATGTTTCATCTCATAGTCTCAGAAACGACTGACTGTACATGCTGCCTAGCCTTCTACTGTTTTCTTCTACTGGTTTTTATGTATTGAGGGACATAATCATTTGAATTTGACACAGCACAATCATTTTCTTGATTAATTTCGAAACAGTGTCAACAGAACTAATGAAAAAGTCTTTTGTAAAAGTGTCATTCACTTTCATTAACAATTATGATGTAGTTTGTTGGATGAGACGAAATTTTTATTGTAAAAAATGGAAGGGGCAAGTATATAAAAGCCTGCAAGTAGGTATGTGATAATGAAAAAAGGTGTAATTTTACGTGTTTTCATAATCGGTGAGTTACACATTTTGATTTCAGATTACAAAAATATGTATGTCCAATAAAAAAAATATTTAAAAAAGTGTGAACCTTGTACCCAAATAATTAACAAAATAAGTTCTGGAAAATATGATTCTTAGCTACAATTAGATTACAAATTCAATTGTTTGAGAAATTGATAAAAAAACTTGATCACTGATCATTAAGTTATTTCACAGAGGAATAATGATGTAACCTAGAGCGCAAATATGATAATGGAAATCTTTCAAAGTACTATAAAATTATCTTTAGTATGGATACTGAAAAGTGAATCATTTAATTTTAAGGTAACTTAAATCTACTGTCGACTTTGAAAATATAGATTTCCAGTTCAATTGGTAGCGATTTTTCCATTTATATCGGTTTTATATTCTAAAATAATACAAAATTTCTCACCTCACAGATGCATTGAGCACTTTGCTGTAATTTGTCTTCCAGCATATTTACTCTTTCTGTAGCTTCATGTTCCAATTCTTCAACAGCTCTTACGAGCATTTCATTCTGTTCTGTTAGGTCACCAATCCAGTCTTGCTGGAGCTTAATTTTTTCCTTGAATATCAAATCATTACTTCACTTGTGACAAAAAAAAATTACATCTATCAGAAATACCTGCATACAATCTCCACCACCAGCGTTATCTATTTCTTTGATTTTTTCTTCATAGAGTCTTTTAAATTCATTTATTATATCCAATGTCCTTGTTTCACCACAAATACCCTTACCGACAGGTACTTGACATCCATCAGGACCAAAAGGCCTACCTTGTGTTCTATTCATGGTATATGTTTTATAAAAACTAATTTAAAACGTAAATTTTATGTATAAATATAAAATCAGTTTTTATGGATATGTGTATAACATTTCATATTGTGACATTTATGTGGCTTTTGCTCTTCATCTATTACCATAGAAATATATAATATATTAGTAGTTCATCACTTGCTTTGATCAATTTTTATTTTCCAAAATCTTCATCCTTCATTCGGAATGAACGCCCTCGTAGGTCTTTAATTTCTATATTTAAAATTCATCTTACTGTCTTCTGTCATTCTACAATATTTATCAACAGCATATGTAGAGTGGATCACATGGTATGGACCAATACACCATTCCGTATTTCTCTCTCTTTTATTTTCATGAACACGAATATGACCTTGTTCTTTTTTCTCTCTTCTTTCTCAGTTTCAATGTAACAGAATGAATGATAAATGTGAATTGGGTCCAAAAAATCATAATACAGGGTGATACACGGTATAATTTCTAAAAGCTTTTGTTTAACTTGTCTTGTATTAGGTTATTTCAAAAGTTTTGTCCGTTTTAATGTCATGTGTTTTTGTAGCTATATACTGATCAATAGAGAATTTTGTACTCTATACATTGATGATGTTTTTTTTTTTTAATTTAATAGTATAGTAATAAGCCTCCCTTCGGCTTATTACTATCCGTGCGTTCCACTAACCGCTCACAACGATCACGCTCACGACTGCAGTTTTTCTCGTTCCACTTGCTTGCGAGCGTTACTGTCATAAACTCAAGTGGAATGGATTACGGAACGTTTAGGGCGTTCATGTAAATAATACAAATGACGAGGTTGGTTGAAAAAAATGAGTTTCAATAATTGCAAGCTAACTTTATTTATATTAAAAAAGAAGTATAAATTATTAAACAAATTGAGTTTGAATGTAATCAAAATGTCTTATACGGCAATTGGAAATTTGTAGATGTGTCGCAATAGTGATCCAGAAACTAGTTCATCTAGTTCAGATGGAGAGTGGAATGCAACTTTCCAAAATTATAATCGTGAAAACCGAAAACTTATGCCACGTATAACTGTGAGAATGTATTTCATCGTTATTCAGATGAAGAATTCAAAAGTCATTTCAGGTACATGATTTTCTATCATATATTACTCTGTAAATTTTGAAAATGTCATGTCTAATTGCACACTTAGATTATACTCTAAATTTATGCTACTCTTAAATTTACTTCTTTATGTGTAACTAATTATTCCATTGATTACTTATGAGATTGAATATTGAAATAAGTTGAGAAATTAGAAATGAATTACGAATGACAGATAACGTTAATGTCATATTTCAACATTTGCGCCGAAACATTCTCAACCTCCACTCGACCCACCTCTTCAGGTGGGTCGAGTGGCCTTCAGGCATTGTCTATGTCTAAATCTGTAGACAATGCTCAGGCATTGTCTAAGGACATTGTCTAAATGACATAGAAATAGATTTATTAGAAATAGATGTCCTAATATACATAAAGATAAACATAAGTCTGTTGTTCATTGCAAATGAGTATAGATATATTGTTTTTTGCAAACTACAACCTAAGGAAGTAAAAATCATACAATTTTTACATATTGATCTTCATTCACGCAACCAGCAAATATTTGTGTCATAATAGCAACTTACATAAATAAAATTAGATGGTGATGTAACCAGGGCCGTCGCGAAAAGAAAAACCAGGGGGGGAGGGAATCCAAATTTTCCCAACCCCACCAGCAAAATTTCCCAATTTTCGAAGAAATGAAAGCCGAGAGATTAGTTACTACTATAATATATTAATTTTCTTACTTAGCTATCCAAAGATTGGCTGAATGCTTATGCCCTTTAGGGTATGCACAAACAAAAAAAAATTTTGGTGATTATAAAAATAATAATGGGAATTATTCTACTTTGGACCAAGGTCCTTGGTCTTCCACCATATCCACCATATATAGGAATATTCAATACAAATGAAAGGNAGACAAAACATCCGGGTTCGAGAAATCAGGAGTATATAAATTAAATTGTGGAACTTGTCTTACGGTATATATTGGTCAAACTGGCAAAACATTTAGCATCGCACCCAGGAACATCATATAAGTTATGTAAATAAGAAAACAAATTTAACATATTCAAATCATCTTTTAGCAGAAAATCATATTATTAACGGAAATTTCAAAATTTTATGCATAGGAAAAAAAAGGTTTAAAGATAAATTATTTGAAAGCAATGGAAATTAATAAACTTGAAAATTTAAATATTTTACTGAATGACCAATTGGATTTAAATAGATCACCATTAGTGAACTTACTGAAACAGGTATATCTGAGTTTTCAAAGACATTGTATTTTTGATGTAGAATTGATATAATAGACTTTAGTTACTCATAATTTGAGGATATACCTTAGGCATATATAAAAACCCACTGTATAGCGGAACATGTGATATATTTTTGAAAATAAAGTGAAGATCAAATCGTAAGGAGTAGTTTATGAAAGTAACGGTCGAATCAAACAGAAAAAAAAATGCAAAATATGTTGCCAAGTTTCTTATTTATTGTACTTAACTTTGCCTTAGAAAAAATCAACACTCATTTTTAAACACTTTCTTATTTGTCAACGTGTAAATTCTACTTTCTTTTGATTATAAAATATTTCCAACAAAAAAAAATAATATTGATTATAAAGTGCGAACGTAAAAAATAGTTCGCTTCCCTCTTAGCTTTTCAATGGGGAAAGATAACAAAGTCGGGCAAAATATGTTTGAAAAGAAATCATGTGTACTACTTTTTGATGAAAAGGCTGATAGTGTGACGTCACTCGTCGCAGAGAGGGCGCTATCAACTTTTTTTTTAATAGAATTGGGGTTTTGTGACCCTTCTTTTGATTCTCTATAGAACGACTCTCACTGTTTTAAATTTTTTTGCTTTTCATATTCAATATCACACAGAAACAGAACTCAACATCTCCTAGTTTCCAGCAAATTTTTTATTCCATATATTTTCCGACTTTAAATGGATAACATTATTACACATTTGGCAATACTGGCATTTGGTCTGAAATGACTTATGCGCTTGCGCGGTACATTTTGGGTACTATTTTCTTGAAAATTTCGGTACTTTTTGAATTGACGTTGCGGCAGCACTGCTTGCAGGTATCGCACTGATGATGGCGTAACAGCCGAAAGTGCTTTGCAATTTACAAATAATTTTTTTTACACGAAATACGATTCCTTTCCTAATTTAACGTCTGAAATGACAGTCTTTGAACATTCTGTGCATTGCAATTTGGGCACCGGCACCGTATAGAAGTGTATTTACTTCTATACGGTGATTTGGGTGAATTTTTTCAGTAGCAGAAATATGACCATTAGCAGTCTAGGTTTAAGGTTATGTCGATGGTTGTGAGCGCTTAGTGGAACCACAGCATAGGTAACAATGATTGTTACCTATGCTGTGGTGGAACGCACCTAATTTCTATGGCCGTTGCTTCTCATTAGAGCGCATTTGGCCAGGCTCCTCCTGTGAACATAAGCTTTTTCCGGAGGCGCAGCGGTCTGCACGAAGCAATGCTACCACTTTTTCTTAAAAAAAAATCTTCATTTCTCACTGATCACCTTCTTCTCGGGAGGACCTCGGGAGGTCACTAAACACATGTTCATATCTATTATCAAAGTGACGACCTCGTTGAATCCTTCGACGTCGAATGCATCCTGGTAAGAGGCCGCCAGTCCTCTCAATACGTCTCTTACTTCAATATTTATTCGACTTAACTTTATTTTGGAATACACCTCTCTACTTTGACCATGACATCCATCCTCTCTAAAGAGATTTTTGGACAAT